AGCGATAGCATGGTGTGGTGGCACAAGTGTTTAATCCTTTAATCTCAGTACTGGGAGGATCTCTTTGAATTTGAGGCAAATCAGGGCTACACAGCAAGGAGTACCTAAAGAAATCCTGACTCAAAATATATAAATAAGCCAGGCGGTGATGGCGCACGCCTTTGATCCCAGCACTTGGGAGGCAGAGACAGGAGGATTTCTGAGTTCGAGGCCAGCCTGGTCTACAGAGTGAGTTCCAGGACAGCCAGAACTACTACACAGAGAAACCCTGTCTCGAAAAACAAACAAACAAACAAACAAACAAACAAAAAATATATATATATGTGTGTGTGTGTGTGTGTGTGTGTGTGTGTGTGTGTGTACACATACATACTTCTGGTCAGATACCCATGAAATGTGCTTTCAACAAATTAAAAAAATCATGGTAGTGGAGCAAAAAACTAGGAGAGTGACTAAAGGAGAATATAGTGATCCATATTGTTTGTTCTACACATTCCTGAATGATAGATAGTTCATACTTCTAATATCCTAAGACTTTCCTTTTTAAAGAGCCCAAACAGCCAGCTGGGTATGGTGGCACATACCTTTATTCCCAGCACTTGGAAGACAGAGGTAGTTGGAGTTCAAGGTCAGCCTGGTCTACAGAGTGAGTTCCAGGACAGCCAGGGTTACATAGAGAGAACAGGTCTCAGAAAAAAAGAGCCAAAACAACATAGAAGCAATGTGTCCCTCAAGACATTGATTCAAATTTCACATGTATAACTGAAATAGTTACAGCTGCAAAAGCTTTCTAGAGCACTGAACGTTTGTTACCTCTGCTCCAATCTCTTTTTCTTAATCACAAAGTGAAAGGTGCAGTTTTTTCCCCCATAATCTTTCAGCAGTGCTGGAAAGTCCTTCACTTTGTTTGGTAAGGTAGATTTGGAAAGAAGTCATTAGGATATGTTGACCGTATGCAAACGGCACATGAATGGTGATATTGCATTGGCCAATCTAACAGAGGAAATTGTACATTCAGACAAAGGTCTTGAGTAACAAAAAGCTCTATTTCTAGAGCCCCTCGTTGAATGTTCAATTAGACCAACCAATTGTCCTACATCTGGTTGTTCATGAAAGCCAAATATGCCGTTTGAGTGTTCCATTCTACTGTGGAGTGCTTCCCATAGACCTGAAATGCTCATCAGAGCCACCCAGAAAGAACAACAACAAAAGAACTATCTAGCACCTGTGCTATTGTCCCGTCTGCCTTCTGGTGCGATTGGTCCCCACTCCTAGCCTTTTCTCTGCAAGTTTCTTTCAGCTCCCCAGAAAGGCTTCTCAGTATCATATGATCACCCTTCTCCACTAAAATCACAGGAAGAGAGACAGGATCCAAACCAAAAGAATAGCAGCACCTACTTTCAAATAAAGATTCTGGGCTAGAGAGCCCTTAGACCTCCTTTGCATTTGCTTATTCTGCATTGGAGGTAGTGGAAGGTAGATTAGCGGGACAGCATGACTCATTTCAGGGCTCTGCAATAAAAGGCTTGTTGGTGCAAATAAATATACCATGATTCTCTTTTTGAGGGAACACTTTATTCCCACTTGAGAAGAATCAGGAAGATAACTGAGTGGACAATACCGTCTTATCCATAAGCACAGAAAATAGTACCACAGGCACATAGCCATAAGAAGACTCAAGTCTCTATTTTGAGATCCCGAGCTTCTCAGTGGATTTATTTAGTCCCCTGCCCCTTTGTAAACAGTTTCAGGCTGTGGACTGTGAACATCTTTTTTTGGACAGCATTACATGGTAGACTGGAATTGGAAGGACGAATCAAGGTTTTGACTTCTCACTTTGTTTTTTGTTCTCTTTTTGAAAAGGATCCCACATTGTAATCCAGCCTAATCTGGAACTCAGTTACGTAGCCCTGGGTGGAGACAAGAGGATCGCCACCTCCCAAGTGCCGGAATTCTAGGCCGGAAGTACGGAGATCATGTTCAGCTCTGCCTTCATTTTGATGTGCCTTATCATAGAGGTTATAGATCAAGAAAGCAAGTGATGATTGAAGAGGGAGGTGGACCTAACCGGCCTTGGAGTCCTGACATCTTTGTTTTTCTTTAAAGCCTAGTGGCGCGGGAGAGGAAAAGTACTTCCCCTGGGCAGAGCTCAGGAGGGTGCCTTCCGCAGGCCCGAGGCTTTTGTTTTGCAGAATGTTACCTTTCCTAATGTATCTCTAAGGCTTTAGAAGTTACAAAGGTGGTGTTTTTTTCCCTCCCTGTTTTCAATGTTGTTTTTCCAGCTGGCTACTGTTTTTTTTTTTTTCACTGCAGCCACCAAATGAGAAATTCTCATTTCCCAAGTTCACTGGTCACGTTGGTTATACTACCACACACAACCACAACACATGTTGGTTATACTACCAGTTTGGTTTTCTTTAATCTTATTCCAAGTTGAAAAAAAAAATGGGGGAGGCCAGTGAGATGGGTCAGTGGGCAAAGGAGCTTGCCTTGCAAGCATGGTGGCCTGCGTTTAATCCCCAAATGTGGAGAAAGAATTCCACAAAATTTTCCTTTGACTTTCACACGCATACCGTCGCATGCACATGGTGGCACACTTGCCCCCCTATAACAATAATAAATATATTAAAATATTTTTGGAAGTTTTTTTTTCTTTCTTTCTGGGAGGTTTCAAGACCAATTTTCTTTATTGTGACTGGTTACCGAATCCAAGGGGCTCTAGAATAGTATCCCCACACATCTGGAGAGCCTGGGGAGCTGTGTCAGTGTATTCTGTTCAGCTTCATTTATCCTTTGGGACAATCTTCCAGTGACTGTAACTGGGTGCGCATCTCCAGCGCTTATGGTATTGCTGCAAAAGTGCGCTTTAAATGAACAGACTTCTGGGGGATGCTACAAAGGATGGGAAACTGTTGCAAAGTAAACAGTGTTAGAGTAGCAGAGTTTGGAATTAGAATGGAAGCAGTTGATGGATTTTACAAAGGACTCCAAATGTCAAATTCCTGCATAAAAAAGGAAAAGAAAAAAAAAGAGTAACTAGGAGAAAACAAATTGAAAGGAGCACAAACCAATCCCGCTGCCCCCCTCCCCACCATGCCCAGCACCAGCCTTGTCTCAAACCGCCTCTAGTCTGAGATTCCCTTTCCAGACAATAGAGTCAAATGGACTTCATTAAAATAATCCTCAGTATTATTCTTAAGCAACATTTTTGGGTCTACGTAAGCAGACTTGAAATTCCTTGAGGGCAAAGATTTTGTCGTTTTCATTTTATGTTTGCCACAGTGCCTTGAATATAGAGATTTTAGTAAATGTTAATTTATTGGCTGAAGAAAGTATGCTTGACTGGTAAATCCCTGGAACCAAACCTCCAAGGTACTATTATTGGAGGCGCCTGGACTGATTCTTTGAAGAAGTTTTTCTCCCTGAGCTACATGGGCCTCATAATCCAATGTTTTTTTAGCAGCATGAGACTCCTTTTTCAGATGAGGGAACCCCAGATCTGTTTTCTATGAGTTAAATAGCTGTCTGACTGGGAGCATGACCTGACATTTAACGACTTTTACTTCATTAACTATCACGCACTAATCAAGAAGGCCTAAACATTTGCTAGTAGAATCTGAGACGCCTGTTCTTAATTCGGAAAAGCTGAGTGCATTCAGCAAAGGTGGAACACTTGGTGGGAAAGGGGCTTGCCAGGTATATCAAACGAAAAGATAAGGCCAATCAACGGCCAAGTGAGTTTGTATGACAACTTTCTTTTTGACTACTTGTGATTCTGTGGGGTAGAAGAAATTAATATTTTCAACTTTCTCTGCACTCACAATCCATAGTTCATAGGTTGTTTGGTGATTTCAAGGAATTGAAGCAGGTTTTGAGGATTTGTTTTTTATTTCTTATTTCACCAAGGGGCTAGACAGCAAACATTTTTATACAAGCTCACTAATTTTTCCTAGATCAAAGAGCTTTGAAACAGAAAAGTTCTAAGAGATCTAACTGTAGTCCCCAGTGGCTTGTAATAATCACTTAATGATGTGATTTAAAATTTTCTAGGAACAAGACAGGAAATATAAATTAATAACAATGTGACAAAAATGTCCAAACACTGGACTTGAAACCGCAAGAGGATCCTAAGAGCTGTTTTGTCAAACGAAGGCAATTCGAAATTCAATGTAGATGTGTTGTTTAGGCAGAAGGCAAAGGAACACATTTAGCATTGTTGAGTTGCCTTAAGCTCAGCGGCATGGCATTCGCAGACCTTTATGATTCTGGAGGAAACAAAATCACAATTCAGAATCAGGAATGTTGAGGAAAAGGAATCCTCTTTAACATCTCTGTGGTTGTTTTTGGCATGCAAACTCATCCTGAATAATTGAGCATTTACCCTGTTACTCTCCCGAATCTCACAAACGATTTTGAATTTTCGGGCTATACGGTTCAAATCGAACACGTTTGGGTTCACTCAGCTCATGGAGAGTAATCCGTTTTTCTCATCAAAGTACTTTAATTAATGGGTGGAGTCTGAATTAAAAAGCGTTCAAATCGAACCAGTTCCCCCATCGTTTTGAACAGCTCTGTCTCTGAAACGCAAATATTCGCATTTACTTGCTTAGAACTAACACACTGGCCTTGTAAACTACCCGTTTTCTTTAGTGTGGAGTTAAACTTTTCTAGACGCTCTGACATTCTAACATCGACATCATTGACCAGGTAGCAGACTCCTAATTTGGCGCTTGCCAAAAAAAAAAAAAAAAAAAAGTAATCGACGGGCATTTTTTTCCCTTCCGTCTTGCTTTTAAAAACTTGCAGGCTCTTGCCCCACAGGGTGCCCTTAACCCAAAGTTGCCTAGACAGGGTTGTCGCATGCGCTCTCTATAGTCATGTTTGTCGCAATGGACTTTGAGCGGAAGGTTATGTAAGAGCAAGTGACTTTGATTACAGTCACTTTGTCGGTAGTGTTGTTACGCGCTACCTCCGCGGGGTACTTGATTGTAACAGAAAGTAGTTCCGGCCTGTGTTGTTTCGTTCGAGGAGCGGTCGCCGCCATTTCAAGACAGTGAGAGGTAGATGTCTAAGAAGAGTCCCTAAGATTCGAGTTCGGTATATTCTGCCGCCCCCTAAACCTTCCAAATCACTGATCCGGCTACTGCCCTTTTTCTGCTACTTCTAGAAACATTTTTATCAGTAGTGGCGGCAGTAGAAGTCAATTATCCCCTTGTTCTGTCTCAAGAAGCTCCAGATGGCGTCTTCCGTGGGCAACGTGGCCGACAGCACAGGTACCAGTGTCCCGTTCTACTTTTGCAGACGTCCCTTTGGGGTCTGGCGCCGTCTTGTATCTCTCATTACTTTCCTCTAACTATCCCCATTACATCAGTGGCATTACTGAGCTCTCTTGAGTTCTACTGCTATCTGATCGGGTTTGGTGCTGCCGTCGGTTCTGTAAACATTCCCTGGTTGCTTGCTTGCATTTTGCTTGCTTTGGGTCTTTTTCGTTGTTGTTTTATCCCATCAGTGTTTTAGCCTTTTCTCTCGGGACGGTTCTATAGCACACGTGCGCGCTTAGTATGTCTTGGAATGGGCTGCATTGGAATCCCTGCTCTTTCTGTCTCCATCGCAACTGCTTCCCCCCTCAATTTCAGTTCGTTGTTCCCTCCCGTACACTCCATCTCCTCCTCAAGGCCCCTCTCCCTTGGCCACATTTGATCCCCCTCTGCCAGTCTAGGGCGGGGATGCTATTTTGGTGTAATCCTAGCCTCACTTTGCATCAGGCAATGACTAGCGAAAGCTCAATGTGCTTCCAAGTAACATCAAGAAGGGCTACTTGAGCCCGCACCCCGCCGGGGCAGCGCCTTCTGGTGTTATTGGGTTGAGCGGCGCCGATTTAGGTTGGAAAATTCCAGGGGTTCTTTTAGCCATCACCCAATTGCACCCGCTGCCCCAGTCCCGGGTTTCCTACCCCGTGAGCCCTCCCCGCTTGTTGCAACCACACCCTTCCTCTGCGAACGTGCCAGCCCGACGGTCGTTTCTTATCCTCAGGGAAGAAACCATCTCGGTGCGTTGCTTGGAGTTGACCACCCTGCCCGCCCTCCTAATTCTCTCTTTGTGTTACTTTCTCGATGTATTCTTCCGCCTCAGCCTCTGGGTTTTCATCTCTTTATTCATAGGGTGTGCATTTCTTTTTTTAAGTTTCCATCCTTGCTTGAAGAGTTTGTAAAGCAACTGGAGTGTAGCTGCACAAGTGCAAAGCGGTTGCCCCTTTTCGACGATTCATTCCTAAGTCTTTGCTACAGAAAATAAGAAAACAACCAAATTGTAGGAGTGTCCTTCAACTGCCTTTCCAGATTGAGGCTTTTGGGGGCGGGAGGGTGTGGGGAACCAGGCTGCGGCTCTTAAGGTTCCCGAGCGGTTATTGTTTTTATTGTTTCGTAGTGCCTAGGTTTTAGTTGCCGACTTTGAACATGTGCGATAAATAGATGACTCTAAAATAGTATCTCATCCATAATTGACGGGAATGGGCTCAATAATAGTCCGATCTTGACCTTCCCGTTTTCCCATCGTGATTTTCAAAAATTTAAGATTCTGCGTTAGGTTTTTGTAAGAGCTTGCCCTTTTCTGACTGTTAACTTTACTTGAGGAAATGGTCATTTTCAGTATTAAAAGAGCAAATAAGCGACTTTGAAAAATAAGGTAATGTGCTAAATTTAGGAGCTAGAAAGTGCTACGGTCTTGTCTAAAATGTAATTTTCTAGTTGATCTTATAGCTCCAACCACAGATTTGGGCACAGATCTTTCTGGTCTTTGTTTTTGTGGTTAGCTGTGCATTCTGTTGGGAAATTGCTCTGATATGAGAGACCTTGGCTCAAATTTGAGCTTGTCCCCATGACCTTGGTTAAAATTAATTACTGGGTCTGTGGTTTCCCATTCTAACCATCTAGACTAGAGAGTGTTGTCCTTGAATTCCTAGTAATGTATTTCTGTGGAGATAAATGTTTACAGCTGAGCCTTAGGCTTGCACCTGAATTTTGGGTTTTATTATGTTAACTAAACCAAGTCCCTCAGAACAAAAGCAATTTTTTTTGTTATTTATTCTGTTGTAGTTTATCCTGTGTTTTATTTATCCTGTGTAGCATTTTAAAGCTATTCCAATTGTAGATTGTTGCCTAGTTATTGAATAGAGTTGTTTTCAATGTCTTAATCCTTCAGTGAGAGCCATGAACACAGCAGAAAATGTCAGGCGGCGTGGGTGGGATTTAGCTAATTTGGTCTCCTTCTGGGTCCTCTCCAGTAGAGGAACAACGTTTGGCGAACCCGTTAAATGCTCTAGCCCTTGACTGCTAACTCATTTTGTTTATCAGTTGCTTTAAAAGTAGCTCTTTGACTTAGGCTGGCTATTTTAAAAAAGAAAGCTGTAAAACTCACAAACATGATATAAAGAGTTAAAGAAACACCTGGTGCCCCCACCCACACTGAGAAAGTGTTAGAATACAATTCAGCTTGAAACACAAGATATGACACTAGGTTATTCTGACAATAAATCCTTGTAACTTTTGCAGATTTCCTGTTGAATGTTTTGTGTCAGTATACTAACTTAGTTTAGTGACTTTAGTGACTCAATCTACCTATGCTTTATAATTAAAAGTACAAAATGTAAGAAAGGAATCTCATTTGGAAGTAAATATTACTATGGAGTTTTAAAAAGGAAGCATTAATAATGGCAAATTTGAAAGAGATCAATTCTGTAGTCTGGGGTTTTAAATAATATGCAGAACACTCTAGTGCTTTACATAGTTTCAAGCATTTTCATCTTTAAGTTTAATATACCATATTTTTACATTTTTTGGTTTGCATTTCTAACTTTTTGTTTCCCCCCTCCTTCCCTCAAATGTTTTGATGATTCTCCAGAACCAACGAAACGTATGCTTTCCTTCCAAGGGTTAGCTGAGTTGGCACATCGAGAATATCAGGCAGGAGATTTTGAGGCAGCTGAGAGACACTGCATGCAGCTCTGGAGACAAGAGCCTGACAATACTGGTGTTCTTTTATTGCTTTCATCAATACACTTCCAGTGTCGAAGGCTGGACAGGTAGGAGATGTCGAGGTAACCTGCCTCTTGGTGCTGAACTTAAAAAATGATAATTAAATATTTGAACTTCAGAGTTTTCCAGGGCTGGGTTTCATCTGAGCCACCAACACACGTGTACTCTTTTGCTCACTTTTAACATGCTAGCTGCTAGTTTTTCTCCCTGTTTTTCAGGGGGTGAGCATATTATCAGTATGACTAGAGTCTTTTCCCCCAGATTTTTTATCACTTGGGGATATTCTTTTTCAGGTAATTATTCTTAGTATACACTGAGCATCCAGACCTGTCAGCTTGAGGGCCTCTGGTAGGAGGGACATAAGTAGTTCAGATTGGAAATATACTCATTAAATTGATGTTGCTTTTAGCTAATTAATCAAATTAATCAAAAGAGAAGAATTTGCTGTGGATCTTTCAGTAAATTATCATTTTGGCACACTTAGGCATTTGAAGATATGTGTCTTTAAATCTTGCCAACAAATGGAAAATGAGACTCATGTACTTTTTATTTTGAATCTTAATGATCATGTTATACAACGTGGCAGTTTGGTAATAGATTCTAATAAGAATTTTCTTATATAAGAACCTGCTTTTTTGTATGAAATTTGGCTACTCTCACCTTAGGAAAGTCTTGGTTTTCTGCTGTATACTAGTTAAAGTATAATGTTCCATAGCATAGAATTTTCGGGGAACTGTTACAGTTGCATATGAGTCATGCCTCCTTTTCTCTAACGTGCATATCTGTGCATCAACACTTTCCGCTTTTCCAGATCTGCTCACTTTAGCACCTTGGCAATTAAACAGAATCCCCTTCTAGCAGAAGCCTATTCGAATTTGGGAAATGTGTACAAGGAAAGAGGGCAGTTGCAGGAAGCAATTGAGCATTATCGACATGCCTTGCGGCTCAAGCCTGATTTCATTGATGGTTATATTAACCTGGCAGCAGCCTTGGTAGCAGCAGGTGACATGGAGGGAGCAGTGCAGGCCTACGTCTCTGCTCTTCAGTACAATCCTGTAAGTAAACGGTTATTGTTGTTTTCCTTCTGTAGCAATCCAAGTGTGGTTTGATACTTCAGATAATAGGTTTTTTTTCCCATGAAAGTCAAGAGTAGAAAGAAATGTTTATATACTTGAAATGATGAAATTGCTTTGATTTGGTCTGCATGACATCAAAAACATCTATCTTATTTAGGAAGTTAAACATAAAAATTATCCTTATAAAAATTTCCATCAACTTTTTTGTAATGATAATTAAAGCTTAAGACACATGGCGTGTATGCATGCATGCATATGTGTGTGTGTGTGTATGTGCACTGTTTTAATGAACTTTGGGTAAATTCTGATGGATATTTATAGCAGTTAGTAATTTTTAAAAAAGATTTATTATATATATGTGTGTGTGTGTTTGTACACACTGCAGCTATCTTCAGACACACCAGAAGAGGACATCAGATCTCATTACAGATGGTTGTAAGCCACCATGTGGTTACTGGGAATTAAACTCAGGACCCCTGGAAGAGGAGTCAGTGCTGTTCTTAACCACTGAGCCATCTCTCTAGCCCCATTAAAAAAAATTTTTAAAGGTGCTAGTATATTAGTGATATGAAAACTAGACTATAAAATGTTCTTAATACCTCCTCCCCAATATTGTTACAAGTAGTGGAATTAAAGCAATTACAGATGTAGACCAGTTTCTTTTTAAATCTAAGTTGCATTTGTTTTCGGAGAACAAGTATTAGAGTCTGTGAAAGATCAAGATTAAATTTAAAAAAGCTATAGGGTTGGACAGTGGTGGTGCATGCCTTTAATCTCAGCACTTGGGAGGCAGAGGCAGGCAGATTTCTGAGTTTGAGAGTTCGAGGCTAGCCTGGTCTACAGAGTGAGTTCCAGGACAGCCAGGGCTACACAGAGAAACCCTGTCTCAAAAAATAAATAAATAAATAAATAAATAAATAAATAAATAAAATAAAAAAGCTATAGGGATGTAAAACTTGCCCAGGAAATTGTTGATATAATGAAGGGAAAGTGGCTGTAAACTTTTAAGAGGTAAGTATAAGGATAGGGGATAGGTCTTGGCAGCAGCAGCATAAACTCCAGCTAAGTTGACATTGAGCATGGAATCACCCTGGAAGTGCTTAATGATTAACTGCCATTATCAAAAGTCTTCTAGAAGCTCAGACACTGCTGTTTCAGATAAATGTCTGTCTGAGTCTTTACCATGATCCTTTGGTGAGGATGGCATTATTTCTAGTTTTGCCAATAATAAAAACCCCAGTAGACTTTGGGTTACATAACTTTTTTAAGATCACATAGCCAGCTAGCAATGGTGAAGTGGATGTTGAAACTTGAAGTTGAATTATCAGAGTGAATGTTAACATGAATGAAAAATTAAAGCTAAAAAGGGCCTTCTTTGCCCCAAGGCAGCCATTGAGCACAGCCTGGAAACCATTAGACATATAAGCCTGTCTCTTGACTCCAATTTTATAGTTTAGGAAACTGAAGCTTATTTTAGTACTTTGCCAAAGCACTGTGATCATTTTTCGTCTTAATATCTTTTTAACAATTATTTTTAAAGTTAATTTTGAAAATTAAAATTAAAAAAATTCTATTGTTTTTATTTCAAAAAAGATAGAAATCACTCTGGAATGGCTGTTTTAAGTTTATAGATGATCTTTGATATGTGGAGTTTGAGTCAGGGCAGGTGCTCCTTTGAATGGCTCCCTTAGTTCAGCTAAATGGTGCTTTTATTTGTGAGTTCATTATAATAAGTGCTTTCTATTCAGTGCTTTTTAGTCTAGGGCGAAATTGCGTAGATTGGAGATAGTGAAAGTAATTTCTCATGTTCTTTCAGAGATATTCAGTGTATATTTGAAATTTAGAGTGTATTTGTAATTTTTAGTTTTAGACAGCTAATCTTGAATGTCCTGCTTGTGGGGCTTGGACTTAATTCTTCTAAGCAACAAGCCTTTCTCTTGTGTGTCCAGTTGTCACAGGACAGTACATTCTTTTCCTTTAGAAATCAGGGTTTCGTTTATCCTTTACCTGTTGAGTGTGTAAACTTGAGCTTGGCTCTCTTGCATAGTTGTAATCTTGGTTAACTTTACTCTGTTATTTTGAGAGGGGATCTCTCAAATAGGTCTTTTAGTCAGGTTGGCCTCCAACTCACTAAGTAGCTGAGGATGACCTTGAACAGCTTAGTTTGTTGCCTCTGCTTCCTCAGTGCTGAGATATAGAGTGTCCATTTTATATGGTACTGTGGATAGAACCCAGGACTTTGTTGCACAGTAAATAAGTACCTCTCCACCTGAGCTAGATCCCTAGGCCCCTGGCTCAGATTTTTAGTTGCCTGTGTGGTAGAGCAGTTAACTTTGTTGACAATATAACACAATATAATTATATTGAGAAGGGAAAATTAAAGTGAGAGACAAAGCCATGCTACTTTCTAAATATATGCTATGTATAGTTTATGTTATTAAATATCTTACCTATTAATGAAACTTAGTGTCATGTACTTCTAAAGAAGCAAGATACCACTAAACTCAATTTCTTGCTTGCATTGGTGTGTCTCTTGTAGGGAGACATGCTTCTTTATTTCTCTGTTCTTTACAATAAGAATGAATTCTCTAGATCTCACCTAAATACAACACAGTGGTTGTGTTCTAAGTTTTCAGAATACCTAATCCTAACTAAATTAAATTTTCTGTCAAATGCCTGTTGTCAAGTCTGTGCTGCCTGTGTTTTGAGTCTGTTCCAGAATATGCATTGTTACTCTAGCATGGCTGGAATCAGTGGTGCTGTTTGCAGTCTGAAAATTAGTTAAGGAAACTCAGGTTATTTTGGTTTTGTAGCAGTGAAAAATTAAAATGTCTGGCTCATTTTACTGGTTTTCAGCGGTGCTTCTCTTTTAAGATTATAGATGTACCAGTGCAAAAGTTAGTTTGTAACTTGATTATAGAAGTTAGAGCCATTTCATTATTATTATTATTATTTGTATTCGGAGCTGCCTTCTGTAATGTTCTATGGCTTAATACATTTGCTGAAACTTTAGCTTGTCATATTTTAAGGTGTTGATTCTTCTGGTATTCTCCTAGAATTGGCCATATTTGGCAATTCCTTTACAAATTATGCATACAGTTCTCCTTTGTGTGATAACTGTGAGCCTGAATTGCTGTTGCTAAGTGTGAAGCTGTTGAGACGCTGTTTTCTGCTTTGATGGTAGATAACACTGTGCTGAGAGCCGCTGACATCCCACCATGTATTACTGTCTTGTTGCTTCAAGAATCCTTGGTAGCTGAATGATGAGAAAACCTTTCATTTCTACTTCTCTCCACTCTGCTTTTTGTTTAGGTTGTTTGGCCAGGGTCACATTTATATTCAAGTGCTGACTGTTGTGTACACAGCTTGGTGAAGAACTGGGGAATTGTGTTCTGGAGGGGTTATCATGAGAGATAGACCTTTCTCCTAAAGGAGAAAAAAAGATGTAAGCTCCTTGGGTGATTATCGTTGGAGAGTATTAATCAGAAGATACCCTTGAGAGGCTGCTAAGAACCTCAGCATTCTGTAGGAAGGTAAACAGCAAGTAGACTCACCAGGCTGAAGCGCTGAGTCAAGTAGTAACAAAAAGTGAGTATAGTAGAGCAGCAGAGTCAATTGGAAGATCTCAAAATAATAATAGAGGCTGTGGAGTTTGAATTAATTTGAGAGGCAGTTGAGAAGCACTGTAGGTTTTTATTGGCCTGGTTTTCCTCAATGTGTATGTATGTAGAGGGGCGTTAAGAGGAAAATCGGAAAGCAGTTGTTATACTAGGGAGGGATAGTTAATGCAGGGACCCCTTATTTGTGGTTCTTTACCTTTATTTAATCATACTGTTTTTCCTTGGTTTTGTTACCCTATTAAGTCTACTCAGTTAAGAAAGCCCAGCTTAAATCTCTCCTTTGAATGTATTTACTTTATTTTCCTTGGTATTAGGCATAGTATTAAATCAAGGTTTTCATGAAAGTTATTAACTAGAGATGGGCAGAATGAACCAGATTTAAGCAAAGTGATTCTCTTAAAAGATACTCTTTTGATTTGACAGATAAAGCTGAATCTGATGCAGGGTTCTGAATGGACATTTTTTTTTTGAGAATTGTAACTTTCTTGTATTTTATGGACATTAAGTATTTATTACATGTATGCACATGAATGGTTGTCTAGATTTGGCTTTCATAGTTTCACTTATTTTGGGTTTTGAAAATACTGTTATGTGTATGTGTTCTATCTGTGGAAATGACTGTAGTGTTCTTGGAGGCTGGAAGGTGGTGTCAGATAACCTGGGCCTGGAAGAGCAGCATGTGCTCTTAACCTTTGAGCCATCTTGTCAGTCCTGTTTTGCTGTTTTTGAGACTTGATTCTCATTTAGTGTAAGCTGGCCTTGAACTGATTATATAACTGAGAATGACCTTGAATTTGTGATTATCCTGCTCCCACCTCCCAAGTGCCAGCTAAAAGAGTTTTTGTTTATATTTGTGATACTAGGGATCAAACTCAGGGCCTTGGGGCTCTACTCTCTGCCATTCTACTCTTCTACTTAATAGGATATGGTTTGTCTTTTCCTAAAATGGACTTATTATTTTACGGTAACCTTGAAGGTATTTATAGTCTCATCTTTTTATAGCTCTGGAGAGCAAACATAGGGTCTTTGGCATGCTAGTTAATTTTTCTACCAACTGACCTACACTGCTAGTCTATAAGGTAACCTATTTTTGTTGTAGTATGCTGTGATGAATGTAGATGCTATAACTAAATATAGATAATCATCCATCTAAGAGTTTATAGAAACTAACTGGTAAATTATGTAACAGTGGGTAAAAATATATAGATGGGGCTGGAGAGATGGCTGAGTGGTTAAGAGCACTGACTGCTCTTCCAGAGGTTCTGAGTTCAGTTCCCAGTAACCACATGGTGGCTCACAACCATCTGTAATAGGATTCGATGCCCTCTTCTGGTGTGTCTGAAGACAGCTATAGTGTACTCATATACATGAAAAATGAATAAACAGATCTTTTTTAAAGATACATCCACTAGTCAGTTATTTATTGTGGTGATTCTGAAATTTATGGCTCAGAGTAGTCATAGAAATCATTGAAAGTCTATAAAATGCTCATCACCCACTAAAGTAGAAGGAACTTGAGTAAGCACATTGGATTGGATATTTAAACATAGCCTTGACAGCCTGACCTTTAAGGTTCAAAGGCGGAAACCTACACAAAGTAGATAGGAAGAGTATAAAATTATTTCTCAGAATACAAATAGGACAAATAGGATTTCAAAGTGCTTATCACAGATGATGATTAGTCTGTAATAAGATTAATGGTACCTGTGAATTGTTTGCTTATTTTATTTATTTATTTACTCATTCACTCATCTATTTATGCAGTGGAGGCTGGCTTGGAACTCAATATGATAGATAACACTTGGAGTGGGGGTAGGGGCTTGAACTTATGATGATATTCCTACCTCAGTTTCCCAAGTGGTGGGATTACAGGTGCATGCTACTGTACCTTGCATACATTGATGCTTTGTGGATTAATATCAGCCTGTGCTCAAGGTTGTGAGAAGATAGGCCTACTCTTCCAAAGCATTAGTTACTGCCTGAGGGACAGTACTAATTAAGGTGGATCATGGAATTGTCCCAGTTTAGCCAGCCTTTACCTTATTGGTTCATCCAGTGACTGACAATGTATAGTATAGAAACAGCTTTATCAGTAAAGCTAACCCATTCTATAACCCATTATACTGTTACTGGTAGAATAATGGAAATAATTCTTTGGACTACTTGATAAAATTTCACCTTATAGGATTTATTTTAAGGTTCTTTCACCCACATAACAGTTCAGGATGATAAACATGCTTCATATTGCCATCATCTCTGCTTGTTATTGACTGAAAAATTCCACTGACAAGAAGCAGACTTTGCAAATAAAAATTTAAGCGTACTGTCTGTTGAGCATGTCATACTGATGAACAGACTGGTGAGTCATAGGACTAGCAACATAATTGAGCTGCTAATAAAAAGCAGAGTCAACCACATTTCATTATTCACCCACTCGGCTCTGATGGCACTTAATACTAATGAGTAATCTAGAGGCAGGTGGCAGGATTGAGGCTGTGGTTGGATGGTAATCCTTCTGCCTAGGCATGAAATAAAGTCAAGGTTTCTAAATAAGACTGAGAGCCAAAAGGTGGGTTTGTTGACAGGTAATCACTTGCTAAGTGAAACACTCTTTTTCCCCATTGTGGAAAATTTGTGGTCCTTGATACAGGAGTGATTCATCATAACCTTGAATAAAACAATTGAATAAATATTCAATCTTTTTTTTTTTCCTCAGAGGTTGACATTTGGAGAAGAGAGAGGCTCTAGAAAGGTCTTGTAGTCTTGTGTTTGAAACTGATAAGGCCAAATATATTTGAAAGGATGTTAGGCCGGGCGGTGGTGGCGCACGCCTTTAATCCCAGCACTTGGGAAGCAGAGGCAGGTGGATTTCTCAGTTCGAGGTCAGCCTGGTCTACAGAGTGAGTTCCAGGACAGCCAGGGCTACACAGAGAAACCCTGTCTCGGAAAAAAAAAAAAAGAAGAAGAAAAAAAAAGGATGTTAGACGATAGTGGCATATACAGATCTCTCAGCCAGAACTAGAGCAGCAGCTGATAGCAAAACACATTTATATCTGTGCAGCTAAAGATAGTATTCATACTAAGAAGAGAAATCAAGTCTGTAAATAATGTGTTTTAAGTTCAGGTTAGGTTTTCACTATCAAATTAGTTTCAGTTTTTCTGAGAACTAGATGAGTTGTGGGCCTATGGTGAAGTTTTGTCAAATGCTGCTTTGAATTGACATTAAAATGACAACTAGATGCACAGATGTGATGTTGGGATAGTTTTGATGAGGAAACAGTATAGAATTAATGATACTGTCTCTGGATTTTTAGGATTTGTACTGTGTTCGTAGTGACCTGGGGAACCTGCTCAAAGCCCTGGGTCGCTTGGAAGAAGCCAAGGTAGGTGTTTGCTAGAACACATTTAAGCATTAGTTATGAAAACCTGTACCTTTTGCCAAGTCTTCAACTCTTCATTGAGCTATCTTCACAAAATAGTCCTATGAAACTGAGAAAAACTGTTGGCATGACTTGCCTCAGACTAGAGCAGGACCAGGCTTTTGGCATAATCTATTCTAAATCCGGGGGTAAAGTAAGAACGTGAGCATTGTGGAGCCTTTCTGCTGAGTTAGAGCATCTTTAATAACAATGGGCTCCATCGTGGTCTTATGTGGGAATCAATAACATTCCTTCAAATCTGAGGCTTGCCTGCTAGTGACAAGCAGAGTGCCTGTGATTTGGCTCAAGACGCCTATATGATGCAGGTGCCATTGAAAACGCTGCTCTTCTAAGTCCTTTGTGGCTTGTAAGTGGAGAAGAATTTCATCCAAATGTTACCCTGTAATACTGGCATTTAAAATTCTTATTTAACCTTCCTCCCTTCATCTTCCTCACCCTTTTACAATGGAAGAAAGGCTGTTAAAATATTGCAAATTAATAATTGGAACATCCTGCCCCTCTTGTCCCAACTTCCTCCTCAAATTCCTTTCCCCCTTTTCCCAATCCTAGTTGTCTATCTTTTTTTTCTTCCTCACTTCCTTTTCTTTTATTCCTCCCCACCCCACCTCCTTTAAAAAAAAAAGTCAGAAGGACAAAGCTGGTTTGTTTGGGAAATGGACTGATCGAAAGAAAACTTGCCGAAGTGGAAAGGTGGCTTTTAGCATTCTGTGTTTCCAAATAATGAATTTGAACACCAGGTTGGGTTAATTAAAGCTTTTGATATAATTTACAATTAAATTTATAAATGCAGTTGTCTTGTTACAAGCCACCTTACGCAACCGCGCTGCAGGGGTGAGGAGTGGGGAGAAACCAGAATGCTTCTGAAACTCCCACCTGTTGCTCTGAGCCCCACGCGCATGCTAATGCGTGGAGTGTATGCGCAGCGTAGCTGTCTGTTTGACTGCTCATCCAGGGAGGGAGAAGGCTTTTCAGCACCACCTAATGTTAAAAAGGCACTAGTTTTAAGTGCATAACTTAATAAATTCTGCCAACACTATGGATTAACCTTTGTAGGTTTCCAGCTGATGAACTATGTTAATTTCAATCTTAGCTGATAAAGTGATTGGTAATTTCTAGAACAAATATTTGCTATGCTCTTATCAATTGTCACCCCACCAAGCGGACAGCTAACATGAATTGCACTTCACTGCAGCTTTAGACATCGGTTTAGGCTGAGACGTTGCGCCTGCCTTAGGTTGCTGACTTCTTTATTTCAGAGCTCTGGAGACACCTAGTTTGAAACATGTCATTCTGTTTTTTTTGTTGTTTTTTTGTTTTTTTTTTTTGTGAGAACTTAGTAAACCAGAAAATACTCTTGAGTGAAATGCAATGTGTTTCTTTTGTAATCAGTGCATTTGAAAATTCAAGCCAGCATATATTCCTAGTAGATGGAATCAAATTAAGTTGTCTTTGTAGAAAATGAAGAGCCTTTCTTCCAGCAAAAATCCCTGCTGTATGCAATAGCCCTGATTAACCCTCTCCCTTCTGCATGTTTCCCATGTTACAGACTTGAGACTGTCCTCATTCCCATATGTAATAGACATCCAAAGAATTTCAATTGCTTTGTTGAACTTTTACTAATGATCTTGTTTTTATTTTCTCTCTTGTTTTTGGTTTTTCACCATTGATATTGTATTTAGAAGGTTTCAGGTGGGTGAAACCTCCTATTCCATGCGTAAGGTGCCTCGCTGAAGGGAGCTCGAGGCCTGGATCTAGGGCAGACACACAACCTCCTCCTCCTCTTCCAGCAAGGAACGCACCGAAAAGTCACATGATGAGAAATATGGTAACGGGTTTGTAACTGCCACAGCAAAACAATTTGCCTCCATGCCTGAATCTTCTGTCTTGTGGCTTCAGAAACAGCTTAAAATAATTTTATTTACAAGCAAGTTATGTAAAAGAATGTTTTATACTATAGCCACAATTCTGTCAAAAATAAGTAAAAGTTAATTAAGATATTAAAATTATTAGATAATTTACTAGTAAAAGCTTCTAACTCTTCTTGTTGTTCATTTTTTTTCCTTTTTCTTCTTTGTTTGGATTGCAGCATTCTGCTCTTCTGATGATGCGCTGTGACCCTGCAGTAGCGCAAAGGCTGCGCAGCGTTAATGCGCATTGCGTGCGAATGAGCCCCTGTGAACGGTTGACTAGATGAGTAATCTGATTGACTGGCTCTCTCAGTCCTATTCTGTAGCCTTTTTGGATAAAATTGGGTTTTAACGTACCTTGAGTCCAACTAATCTCATTAAGCAAATATTCTCTATGGGCCTGTCTAGTAGATTAATGGATCTGGTTGGCCGTTTGCTGCGTCTAGGGGTGTTCTATGTAGCGCAGCAGTTCGCAGCGATTGCGCAGTGCGATGCTGTTAGGTGGCGCCCGCGATGTTTGCGCTCGCATTACAGGGACCTCAACCTAGGTGCAATCCTGTCATGTGAGGTTTTATTTTCTTCCTCTTCAGAAGAGAGGGATGTTGTGAGTCTGAAACTTAAAGCCTAAATGATAATGACTGACTTGGCAGAAGCATTTTTGTATGGCTCAGTAGCTTACTTTTTTGATCTTAAGAAAGAACATTGTTGTAAGCAGCAGTTCCCTCACCTTTTTGGTTCTAATAAAATGCATGATGAGAGATCGAAGACTTGGGGAAGTTATATAGGAAAGAAACTTTCTGTTGTTGTTTGCTTTGTCTTATCCTCCCTCTACTCACTTTGTAGCTGAGGATGAGCTGGAACTTAAGATCATCCTGCCTCTACTTCCTTAGTGCTCAGATTACAGGCCTGTTCCCCATACCCAGTTTAAGAAACCGGTTTTCTGTTTTTCTGTTTTACTTGATTATGAAATTTGGGTGTCTTTTGTTTTTGTTGTTTGCTTTGGTTTTGGTTTTCTTGTGATGTCTCACTTAGCACTTTTTAAAAACACATTTTGGGAAATGTGGTCTGTGGAAGCTTAGACCTCATGGTGTCCTCTTGATCATCAATTTCTAGAGCCCATATAGGTGTTCAGACAAGAGGAGTCTGGCATTAGTGTGTAGCAGCACCCAACCTCCCAGATGAGTCCCGGGATAAGGATTATTGCTCTTTGGTTGGCAGAACTGAACATGGTGGTTTGCACTTGGGTTCTGGTGGCGCAGGCGCAGGAGCAGCCAGCTGTGGCAGCGCATTAGTTTTGGCGCAAGCGAGCCTATGCTGCAGGGTCACTTTTGACTGGTCAGAGAAGAAATAATGATATCACCTTATTCCCCCTCCCCAATCTTTTTTTTTTTCCCCCTTTACAAATTTTCCCCTTTCCCCTTATCTCCTTCCCCTCTCGTCTTCTTTCATTAAACCCTCCTAAGGCATGTTATTTGAAAGCAATTGAGACGCAACCAAACTTTGCAGTAGCCTGGAGTAATCTCGGCTGTGTTTTCAATGCACAAGGGGAGATTTGGCTGGCGATTCATCACTTTGAAAAGGTTAGTCATTAATTGATATTTTATGAAATGTTTATAGGTACAGAACGTTCTTACTAGACTAAAACAGTAGGCATTTACTTAGCCAGTTATGTAATATTTTTGTTTTCTTGACAATATCGCAGCATTTGCAGATGGTATATATAATACGACGGTTTTTGAGATTTATACTGAGAGTATACTTCAGTAATTGAAAATATTTTTTTATTTATGTCACTGTTAGTTTGGTATTTTTGAGAGGTCTCATTCTGTATAGAATGAATGGCTTACAACTTACTATGTGGCTCAGATTGGCCCTCAGCCTAGTGGCAATCATCTTCAGCTTCCTGAGTGCTCAAATTACAGGCATGAACTACCCCCATCTGGTTTTAAAATACCCTTTTCCCTAAAAGTAGTAGATATCTCTTTGAGTGAAGCAATAGTACGGGCTGTACAGGGATCCCTTGTGAAGAGTGACATGCGGGAGAGGAGGAGGAGGCTTCCAAGTGTCTTGATGAAAATGCTGATTCCAAGGCTAGAATAGGAAATAATACAACATTGTCTGGAATCACTTGTTAGATCAGAAAGCAAGCAAGTACCAATTTACTTTTTCATACACTTGTCTTGCTATTTTTTTTCCTTTTTTTAAAAAAAAGTCTCATATAGCAGAGGAAGACTTTGAGTTCAACATTTATTTTTACTCGTTTATTTTTACTTTTTATGTGTATAAGTGTTTTCTGTCACCATGTAGGTACTGGGAACTGAACCAGGGTCCTCTGTAAGAGCAGCTAATGCTCTTAAGTTCTGGTCAGTCTTTCCAGCCTTAACCTCCTCAGTGCTAGTGTTAGAGGTGGGTGCCACCACATTTGGCTTTTATTTGAGAAATAACTGTTCAGAGTTTTGGCCCATTTTTAAAATTTATTTGCTCTCTTACTTTGAGTTTAGGCCCTCACATATTATTAATATTAGCCCCTTCTTAGATGTATGGTTTGCAGTATTTTTAGCTACTGTCAATTGTCTCTTCATTCTGATAATTTTCTTTGCTGTGTATAGTTTTATATGATTGCATTTGTCTCTTTTAGTTTTTTTTTTTGTTGTCTGTGCTTTATTCTTTTTTTTGTTGTTTTTTTTTTGTTTTTTGTTTTTCGAGACAGGGTTTCTCTTTGTGGCTCTGGTTGTCCTGGAACTCACTCTGTAGACCAGGCTGGCCTCGAACTCAGAAATCCACCTGCCTCTGCCTCCCAAGTGCTGGGATCAAAGGTGTGCACCACCACTGCCCGGCTCCTGTGCTTTATTCTTAATGCAAGCAGAACAAATACTGTGTGTGGTCACAGTTAGGTATGGAGTCTAAAAAAATATTGGGCTGAGGAGGTAGAGGTAGTAGGATCCTTGGAATACAGTGGCCAGCCAGCTAGCCTAGCCAGATTGATGAGATCCAGGCTCAGTGAGAGACCTTGGCTCAAAGATAGTGTGAAAAATGGTTGAGGAAAGCCGCTCCAATCTCTGGCATCCACATGCATATATATTGCCACATACATGTACATATGCACAAATGTGTACATCTACATCAAACACGTGTGCAACACACTCTTCACATTTAGCAGTTTCACAGAAACAGTAGAAAAGTAGGTAACAGGTTCTAATGGGGATAGGGTTGAAGTAGGAGCAGCGAAATGTTGGTTAAAGGCTATAAATTTGCAGTTGACTGTGGAATTAGTGAGCTATTTATTACACTGGATGGTGACCACATTTGTATGTATGGTATATTTCAAAATTGCTACACAATGGCTGTTTTAGCCCAGGAGTTGAAAGTGAACCTGGACAACATAAAAATTGTCTCACTTGACAAAATGTACTATGAAGAAAAAAAGCAAAGCAAAACTAAAAATCCATATATGCTGGCACAGGCTAGTAATTCTAGTATTCAGGAGCTTACAGCAGGAGAAATTAGAATTTGCAGAACCCAAGGTAGAGAGAACTGACTGTACAGCATTGTCTTCAGACTTCACCGTCCATATACACAACAACAATGAAATGGTTTTTTAAAAAATTTAAAAAAAAACCTTTCACATATTTGTTTGATACAGGCATGTAGCCTATACTGACCTGGAACTGGCCTTTTGCCTCTGTCTCCTCAGTGCTGGAGATTTATAGGCATGTACTGCTAAACCTAGTAAGAATAGATTTTTAAGGCAGGAAGTGGTGACACATATCCTTAGTTTCAGCAAAGGCAGGTGGATCTGTGAGTTCCAAGCTGAGTAGGGCTATGTAGTAAGATCCTCTCTCAAAACAAACAAAAACCAAAAAGAATAGATTTTTTTTTTTTTTTGGTTTTTCGAGACAGGGTTTCTCTGTGTAGCCCTTGCTGTCCTGGAACTCACTCTGTAGACCAGGCTAGCCTCGAACTCTCGAACTCAGAAATCCACCTGCCTCTGCCTCCCAAGTGCTGGGATTAAAGGCGTGCGCCACCACCGCCCAGCAAGAATAGATTTTTTAAGTGTTTATACTTTTTAAAAAAGGGAAGTTGGTGAGGGGAGGTGATGAATATGTGTGGACTTGATTTATCATTTGGTATTTAATGTACTAGCTTTAATTTATAAGAGGCTGGATAGATGGCCCAGGAGTTTAAGAGCTTTGACTGGTTTTCAAGGGATCCGGGTTCAATTCCTAACACCCACATGGTAACTTATCATTTGTAACTCCACTCTTAGGGGATCTTTGAAACAGGCTGTTTTGACTCTTTACTATGTAGACCAGTCTGGCCTGGAACTATATTCCTTCATCTGGCCTTGGAGTACTAGGATTAAAGGTGTGTACTACCACACCTGGCTTTGATTGATCTTTTGACAGCATATACATAAATCGAACTATACTCTGCCCCACAGATAACATACTTTTTTTTGGGGGGGGGGTGTCAAGCAATTTTTTTATGTAACGAAAGGAATCAAACCTAAGGCTTTGTACATGCTGGACAAGCATTCTACCATTGAACTACACTCTAAATTTTCTTTATTAATAACATTCTATGTAATAAAAGAAGGAACAATAAACTATTACCATTAATAGGTTTAGGCATTTAACAGTGGCAAAGAAAGATATAGCATTGGATGTTGTTCCTTGTGAGTAGGACTAAATTCCACTGGTGAAGTAGATGCTCAAAGAAATGAGGGCTGCGTGTGTAGTTCAGTGGTAGAATGCTTGTCTAGCATGGGCAAGGCCAAGGATTATGATTCTTAACACACACACAGAGCTTGGGGAGGTATTGGGGGAGACACAGATAGGTTTTATGCTTCTAGTTTAAATGAGAGGCTAGGCTGGGCGGTGGTGGTGCAGGCCTTTAATCCAGCACTTGGGAGGCAGAGGCAGGTGGATTTCTGAGTTCGAGGCCAGCCTGCTCTACAGACTGAGTTCCAGGACAGCCAGGGCTACACAGAGAAACCCTGTCTCGAAAAACCAAAAAATAAATAAATAAATGAGAGGCTAGATAGATGCCTCAGGAGTTTTAAGAACATTGGCTGATTTTCCAGAGGACCCAGCTTTGATTTCTAGCACCCACTGGGAAGCACACAACCATTTATAATTCTAGTCTCGGGATCTGAAGCCCTCTTCTGTTATCCAAACATGTTTACCTGCTGCATGCATTTCCAGTAAACTAATTTTTTCTTTTTCATTTACATGTGTTTTGTGCACAGATACACATGCAGACAAAGCATGTTAAAAAGACACCAGAGGAATTTCATCAGCAAAAATGTCAACTATGGATTTTCATAGGACAGTGATCTGAGTTTTCTTTTTCAGCAAGGTGTAGGAATGAAAGTAGAGATTTAAATGAAATGTGGATGATTAAAAGGGGATGAGATGTTTGAGATTTGCTTCAAAATTATCTGGAGAAAGGGGGAGTAGGTTAGAATACATACTAAGTAAAAGCCATTGTGATTTATGTATTATTAAATATGGTAAGTTAAGACATGGGTTTATTGCCTTCTTTGATTCTGTGTATTTTTGAAACTTTTTATGAAAATTTATTGATAAGGAGCAGGTGTGGTTCATGCCTATAATCTCAGCCCTTGGGACGTTGAGGCAGGAGGATTGATTGCAGGAGTCCTAAGCCACACTGTCTTCTATAGCAAATTCTAAGATAGCCTAGGCTGACAGCAGAGTTAGACTTTACCTCAAAACAAAAAGTTCAAAAGGTTTTCAGGGTAGATATCTGTAACTATAGAAAGTCTAAGCTAAGTGAGTCTTTATCTGATAGAGACTTGTTTGTTATCTATGTGAAGAAATGTTTCTAGGAATATTTAAAATATTTGAAGTTATTACCTATCAGTTTTTGGTTAAATTTGTATTTACTATACTAGAGGATTATCTTTCTAGTGCCTTGGCTATGCTAGCCCAGCATTCTATCATTGAGCAACTACTCCCCAGCACCAGGATAGCATTTGCTTGTTTCGAAAAAGTGTCTCATATAGCCCCAGGCTGCCTACAAATTTACTGTGTAGCTGAGGATGACCTGAAGTTCTGCATGTCCCTGCTTATACCTCCTGGCTGCTTGGATTATAGGCTTTTGCCATATCTGGCTTAATGTTACAACTCTAACAAATCTTACTGAGGACTTGCTGATCTGTGTTTATGGAACAAAGTAACACACATACTTTGTTAAGAGCTCGCTGCTTGTTTCTGCCACTCTCTTTTAGAAGAGTTAAACTGACTTGAGTACAATGGGCCGAGCATTACAAATACTCTGTATGGTAGCACAAGCCTTTAGTGGCAGCACTTGGGAGGCAGAGGCTGGTGGGTGGAGCTCTGTGAATTCGAGGCCAGCCTGGCCAGAGCTACATAGTGAGACCCTGTCTCAAAGAACAGACAAAACAAAAGGAAGACGACATACTCTGCTCAGTTAGATTGGATCCATTTTGCTTTTGAGAAGGTTTTTTGTTTGTTTTTTGTTTTGTTTTTTTGTTTGCTTTCTTTCTCATGATGTAGAGAATGGAATCCAGGTACTGGAGTATGCTGGCTGAGTGCTTTGTTGCTGAGCTACAGGACCAGCTCCTCCCTCTAATTATTTTGACATTAATGAAGGTTTATAGATGAGAGAGAACTAAATAAGAAATGCTTTTGAAAACAAACTGAGTTTTATTCTAGAAAATGTAATTGGCTATCTAAAGCTACTTCAAAATAAAAACTGAATGAGAAGTTAATCTGATAAGGTCTTATCTTTTTCTAAGTAATTTTTGTCTTGAAATTTTAGGCTGTCACCCTTGACCCAAATTTTCTGGATGCTTATATAAATTTAGGAAATGTCTTGAAAGAGGCACGTATTTTTGACAGGTAAGAACGTCTTTGTAATCTGGACTAAAATGTGGCAACAGCTTCCAGAAGGGCATTTATCTAGAGTGTACTTTTCCCTCCTGCTTTGTTACACTTTACTTAACAGATGTATGTAGTTGGATGACTTTTCCTTTTTGGTTTTCCTGAATACTTTTATCCTTACACTTAATTCAGTTGAAATTTCCTTTACTGTAAAACTGTTAGAAATGACTACCTTTTGGACTGAATTGTTCCATTTATCTGATTAAAAAAGCGAAGTAAAACTTGACTTTTGACTGTTTTGTTACAGAACTGCTTTTCAAGTGTGTGTGTTTGTGTGTGTGTGTGTATTGTATGTGCATGTGTGTGCAGGTGAATGGTACATGGGAGTCCTGAAGAGAACATTGGTGTCCATCCCCATCCAATCATTCTGTAACTTATTCCTTTGAAGTACTCTCTCCTTGAACCCAGGGTTCACAATTTTGGCTAGGTTACCAGTCAGTAAGCCTCAATGATCTCCTGTGCCCTTCCCCCAGTGCTGAGGTTGTATGCTTTTCTATATGGTCATACCTAGCTTGTTAGGTGGGTTCAGGGTTCCAAATTCAGGTCCTCATAATTACACAGCAGACTCTCTTAACCACTGATCATCTTTCCAGCCCCTTGATTTATTTGATTTTGTTTTATGTGTATGGGTGTTTTGCCTGCATGTATGTCTGGGGACTATGTTGGGAAGCCAGAGAGGGCATCAGATCTTGTAGAAGTAGAGTTATATATACATGGCTGTAGTTATACATGGCTGTCAGCTGCCATGTGGGTTCTAGGATTCAAATCATGGTTCTCTGGAAGAGCAATCAGTGCTCCTGTCCACTGAGCCATATCTCCAGCCTTAGATTTGTAACATTTTTGTTGTTAAGGGAAAGCTGAGCAGGAACACACAAATGGTTTTCTGTGAAAATATGTTTTACAGTCTGACACTTGGAGACTGAAGCAGGAGGATTGCTATGAATTCAAGGCGAGGTCCTTGATAGAACAAGACCCTGTCTCAAAAAACATACTGGGCTTGGGTGTAGTTGCTTATACCTGTAATACTACTAGCACTTGAGAGGTCAAGGGAGAAGGGGTTGCTCAGAGTTGGAGGCCAGCTAAAGCTACAGAGTAAAATCTTAATCTAAAAAAAAAAATCAAAAAGCCACATATCCCAAAATACAAATGTAGGGCTAACAATTTTTACTCAGTGGTAGAGCCCTTGTTTAGCATGCATGGGGCCTAAGTTCAGTTCTTAGCACCACAAAAAATAAATTTTATTAAAAATGAGATTTTGGTATGCACTAAGACATACCGAGTTAATTGTCAGTAGTTGAAATTAATTGACATTTCATTTAATAAAATATCCATTAAAGTTAGTTGGGTGAGATGGCTCAGTGAGTAAAAGATTAAGCCGATGACCTGAGTTCGATCCCTGGAACCCACAGTGGAAGGAGAGGAGAAGCAACTTCATTCACAAAGCTGTCTTCTGCCTTCCACATGTGCAGTGTGGTCCATGCCAACCTGTACACATGTCATAAACTGTAAGAATAATATGTTTAACATTTTGTGCATATGTGTTTGTTTTTGTTTTTCTCACAGAGCTGTCGCAGCTTATCTTCGTGCCTTAAGTTTGAGCCCAAATCATGCGGTGGTGCATGGCAACCTGGCTTGTGTGTACTATGAGCAAGGCCTGATAGACCTGGCCATTGATACCTACAGGCGAGCTATAGAACTGCAGCCACATTTCCCTGATGCTTACTGTAACCTAGCAAATGCACTCAAGGAGAAGGGCAGTGTAAGGATTTTGTCTTTTCTTTGTTATGTTGTTAGAAGAGAAAAATCATCATTGTACGTATTAAGTATTGAGATGGTTATATTGGTTTCCTTTGGAGTTTTGGTTGTTGGGAAGGAGGAGGATACTGAAAATTAACCATTTTGTGGTGTGTTCCCAGCCATTAGACTCAATGACGCAGTTACTTGAATTACTAGAACAGCAGCAGCCTCTCTGCTTCTTCTGTGGAGCTTTTATATGGTTCGTTTTATTTTCCAGGTTGCTGAAGCAGAAGATTGTTATAACACAGCTCTTCGGCTGTGTCCTACCCATGCAGACTCTTTGAATAACCTTGCCAACATCAAAAGGGAGCAGGGCAACATTGAAGAGGCAGTTCGCCTGTATCGCAAAGCATTAGAAGTATGTTCAGTGCTGTGGCTGGAGGGTCTAGCCTAGCCTGTGTGACAGTAGAGGGAAAACACTTTAGTTTGCCTGCCTCTGGGTTTATTTTATTTTACTTTTGGTTTTTGTTTTTGAGACATGGTTTGTCTGTGTAACCCTGGCTGTCCTCGAACTCACTGTATAGGCCAGGCTGGCCTCGAACTCAGAGATTCCCAAGTGTTGGGATTAAAGATGTGAGCCACCACTGCTCAGCTGTCATTCACCTCTTTAAGAGGATTATTCATTATTGATGTAAGGTCCTATGACACCCCTATATTGAGTTCATTATTTTATGCATAGATGAGATCTGTACGAAGATATTGAGTAGTAAGCTAAGTAAAGCTATTACAATGAAGAACTCAGGCCTGTGTCTATTGGTTAGTAGGTATAGTAGGAGTTTAGAAAAGAAGCAGCATTACTCAGTGTTAGTAACAGGAAGAGAGGCATACTTCACATTTGAAATGAAGATAGGTATAAAGTGGAGGAAGCAGTAGAATTTGAGCTACTAGACCAAGGAAAAGGTGGAGAGAAGTCAAGGCACACTGTGCCATTCTCAGAGTTTTGGGAGGTAATTGGGAGATTACTTTTGCTATTTAATGTCCTCTGTGATCATCACTCTGTAGGTCTTCCCAGAGTTTGCTGCTGCACATTCCAATTTAGCAAGTGTACTGCAACAGCAGGGCAAGCTTCAGGAAGCGCTGATGCACTATAAAGAAGCCATACGGTACGAAACTCATAGCTTCTCTTTTCTATCTCTCTAAAACCCTCCCATAAACCATACCTCCTTGCTGTCAAATACATGGCCACCTTTTTCATGAATTGTTGTAATACACATATATGAATATGTATTTGTATGCATATATATTTCTAAATATAACTTGCACAACCTGTATAGTTAATGCTACTTGTGTGTATGTTTTTGGGCTGACTATTTTGGTATTGGATAACCAATTGGTATGCTCTTCCCTACAGAAGACTATCTCACTCTGACAGTATCACTTAGATACCTGTATATCTTTGCATAGGATTGAAGCCTCATGGGTTTTCCCCCACTCAGCATTTTTTTGTTTTTTCTTTTTTGAGACAAGGTTTCTCTAAGTAGCCCTGGCTGTCTTAGAACTCACTCTGTAGACCAGGTTGACCTGGAACTCAGATCCACCTGCCTCTGCCTCTCAAAATTCAGGGATTAAAGTTGTGTGCCACCACCACCTGGCATCTTATTTTTTTTAAAGGCATGGCATAGTGGTATATGCTTTAATCCTAGCACTCAGGAGCTTAAATAGGTGAATCTCTGAGTTTGAGGCCAGCCAGGGCTACATGGTAAGACCGTGTGTAAAACAAAAATTTGGGGCTAGAGAGACAGCTCGGGGATAAAGAATACTGGCTGCTCTTCGAGAGTATCTAGGTTCAATTCCTAGCACCCATGTGATAGCTCACAACCATCTGTAAATAATAATAGGAAATCCTGGCTTTCAAGGGCACCAGGCATGTGCATGTTACATAGGGATACATGTGGGCAAAACATCCACACACATATAAAATAGTAAAATAATTTTTAAAAAATTAACTAAGCTTTTTATGAGACGGTTTCATTATGTCGCTCTGGTTGTTCTGGAACTCACTGGCCTTGAACTTACAGAAATCCACCTACCTCTGCCTTCCACGTCCTGTGTTTAAAGGCATGTATCTGCCATATTTGGCTTATTGTAAACTTAAAAATCATTAAAAATTATTCATCTGTATCTGGGTATATGTAGAGCATATAGATCCCTATAGAGGCCAGAAGAAGGAGGGTGGCAGATCTCCTGGAGTTGGAGTAAGGCAGTTGTGAGCTGCCCCATGTGGATGCTGGGAACCAAACCCAGGTCTTCTGGAAGAGCAGCCAGTACTCTTAACTGTTGAGCCACTTCTCTCAGCCCCTTGTTATTTGTCTATTCATTGAGTTACTTATTTTTAGTTTATTTTTTTCCCCTGAGACTGGGCCTCTCTCTGTATCCCTGTCTGTCCTGGTACTCCATGTGGATCAGGCTGGCCTAGAACTCACAGAGATGCCTCTGCCTTTGCCTTCTATGTACTGGGGTTAAAGACATGTCCTATTTTAATTTTTAACAATTATATTTCATTTATTTCATGTGCGTGGAGGAAATGTGGGCATATACTGCAGTGCCCATGTGGAGGTCAGAGGACAACTTATTGGGGTTGTTTTACCTTTTTTTTTAAGATTTATTTATTTATTATATGTAAGTACACTGTAGCTGTCTTCAGACACCCATATGAGGGCATCAATCTCATTGTAGATGGTTGTAAGCCACCATGTGGTTGCTGGGATGTGAACTCATGACTTTTAGAAGAGCAGTCAGTGCTCTTAACCGCTGAGCCATCTCACCAGCCCTGTTTTACCTTTTCATGTGGGTTCTGTGGTTGAACTTGTGTTAATCAAGCTTGAGGTACGTTTACCTGCTAAACAATCTCAATAACCTTTTAAATTACTGCTTTTTTTTTTTTTTTCAAAGACAGGGTTTCTATATCCCTGGCTGTCCTGAACTTGCACTGTAGAAGTGGCTGGTCTCAAGCTCACAGAGATCTGCCTACCTCTGCTTTCCAAGTGCTGGGAACATACCCAGCTTATTATTGTCAAAAGATTACTTTTAATTATGTATGTATTATATGTGTATACAATGCCCTTAAATTCCAGAAGTAGGTGCTGTATCCCCCTAGAGCTGGACATTGATGCTGGGAACAGAATTCAGGCTCTGCAAGAGCAGTGAGAGTTCTTAATTGCTGAGCCCCAATTATTGAATAATTTACTGTTATTATTTAATAATTTATTATCGAGTAATTAAAAGTTTGACATTTAAGAGGTCCTAAAATGACTCTCCTTCACTCTTTGGTGCTGGGGCCTCAAACTAGGCCTCATGCTTGGTGGGCAAGTATTGTAATGCCAAACCACATGCCAAAGCCCCCAAGTGCTTTATGACAAGATTTTACATGAGATAATCAAACCTTTGTCTTCTTCAGAATCAGTCCTACATTTGCTGATGCTTATTCCAATATGGGAAACACTCTGAAAGAGATGCAGGATGTTCAGGGAGCTTTGCAGTGTTATACTCGTGCCATCCAGATTAATCCTGCATTTGCTGATGCACACAGCAATCTGGCTTCCATTCACAAGGTACTGGTGTTTATTCAAATACGGGGTACCTTAGCACTCAAGTAGCATTGTAGGAAACTCCTTACAAGTTTGTTTTCTTTCTAGGATTCAGGGAATATCCCAGAAGCAATAGCTTCTTACCGCACAGCTCTGAAACTTAAGCCTGACTTTCCTGATGCTTATTGTAACTTGGCTCATTGCCTACAGGTAAAGCATAAATGGTTTATTGTTTTTCTTTCTGCATCATTACCACTTTTTAATTGTGTGCCATTTATTTATTTATTTATTTATTTATTTATTTATTTAGTCAAGTGGCGACCATAGGGCAGATTTCAAGAGTCATTTCTCTTTTAGCACGTGAGTCCTAGGCATTGGTCTTCAGTTGTCTGGCATGTAAGGCAAGCAGCTTTACTCGCTGAGCCAGCCTCAAGACCATACACTAGGAGCTCAAATACTTGTAAACAAAATCTTTGGGTAGGATTTTTGGGTGATAATTTCTTTTTGCTTCCTCTAGATTGTCTGTGATTGGACAGACTATGATGAGCGGATGAAGAAATTGGTTAGTATTGTAGCTGAGCAGCTAGAGAAGAATAGGCTACCTTCTGTACATCCTCACCATAGCATGCTGTACCCTCTTTCGCATGGCTTCAGGAAGGCTATTGCGGAGAGGCATGGGAATCTCTGCCTGGATAAGGTGACTCTTGTTTTAATCTTTTTGTTATAAACTAAAATGCAGATAGAGAAAACCATTCATTGTATAAATCAAACGTATGGCTTTACCAACTAGAAATGAAACTGTCTTAGCTACCCTAGAAGCCACTTTTCACTGTGGCCTGACTTCAGCTCAATTCTTCATTTCTAATGGTGGTGTTTTCTTTTAAGGTGGAAATCTAGGCTAGGCATGGTGGTACAAACCTATAATCCCAGTACTTCTGTAATCTCAACACTTAGAGGCAGAGGATGGTGAATTGAGGCCAGCCTAGACGACATAGCAAGCTCCTGCCTCAAAACCACAAGCAAGCAAAAACTCCATCTAAAAAGCAAGCTAAAGGCAACAACAACAAAAGCCTCACGTGGTGTTTAAATAGAGCGTTGAGTATTACATATTCAACTTTGAGAATATGAACACTACTTGATAGAGTTTATTATCTGCTCCAGGAAACAGAGTGGTAGATTCAAATCAAAATCAATCAATCAATCAATCAATCTCTCTCTCTCTCTTTCTCTCTCTCTCTCTCTCTCTCTCTCTCTCT